AAACGTTCCCCATTCTAGTCAAAATCATAGTACTACACTATGTTTGTTTTGATTCGCTATGAAAGTTTGACAGATAAAATGAGGGGCTCGTGGATTTTCCTATGTTTCGAGGGGTGAATCGATTAGCTTGGGACCGAAGATAGTACCAGAGCTGAGCCAAAAAGATGAGCACGTTTCTTCGGGACCTACTAGTCTTAAAGTTACCTCTATGATACTATTATCTCACAGCAACTTACTCGAAAGATGCAGCAACGTACAAAAAATCAAAAAAGCAGGTACGGGATCAAACCTAATCTTATTACAGTAAACTCTTTCTAAATGTATTTAAAGGGACCATCAAGTTAGGGAGGATATCGACTATTATGATTACTTTTATCAAAATAATATTTCTTTAGCGCCTTAAGAAACACAAAATCATTTTGATCAGGAAGCTGTTGCATCGGCAAAAGTTCAAAATCTCTGAAAATATCTGATTAAGTAAAAGCGTAATCTTTTACCATTACAGGACTGCCATCGTCATTTAAAAAAAAAAAGTAGAGGGTTGTGTCAAAAGCACGACCGCATTGTTGACGAAGAACTACGAGATTATTTTGCTGTTATATATTTTATTGAATATTCGAAACCCTTGGTATTTTTCACGGATGTCCCTTGGAACTTTCATTAGAATTCACTAGAAATAATCTCTCTAATACCCTTAGAATTCAATACTCTCGGAATTTCTTTGCAGTTCTCATAAGAACTCTCTTTACATTCTTATGGGAATTTATTTAGAATATTCATTGGAAATTAACCTGTAATCTTCTTTACAATCGTCATGTAATTTCACACAGAACCACCTTATAGTTCTACACACTTAGATTTTTCTACCGAGATCGGCTGTGCAAATCTCGGCAAAAAAAGTTTTACTGAGATATCAGCAAACATTTCATTTGTTTGCTGAGATTCAGCTAAGCATTATCCGAGACTCAGCAATCAAATGTCACTTTTGCTGAGATCTCAGTGAAACTTATTTTGCCGAGATTTGCACAGCCGAGCTCGGTAGAAAAAATTAAGTGTGTACTTTGAACTTAAACAATTATTGAATTGACGTTGTAGTCAAAACTCTACAATACTTCCAAAGCTCCATTAGAATTTTAATCCTCATTATCTCCAGAATTCATTCTAAAATTTTCTTTGAATTCCTTTGAAATTTTCATCAAAATTATCGAATAAGTTCTTGTAAGTGATTGTTTCCGGAAAATCTAGTAGTTGAGAAGATTATTGTTTTCCAAAGAGAAGACGAAGTGTATTTTTCCCGGTTCATCATCGAAATTCACGGACTTCTCCCCCAGTCCGCATCGTGCTCTCTTTCCGTGGGGATCTATTTGCTTTTTGCTGAAGGAAGTGTTACTACTACCTAAAGCTACAACAAATTTAAACAGCACTTTTCGGTGCTCAACCTGTAAAATTTCTACCTTGTTCAACTCTTATTCCTCTTCGATCCTTGTTTGGACTCTACACGAGGTAATCCTTCTTGGATATCAATTTGGAAAATTCCTCTTCGATCCTTCATATTCTTATAGTAATCTGCTTGAAAGTCGATTTGGATAAAAATTTACTGCCGCCATGGCGCCTTAACGCAAAAGAAAGGGGCAAACTCTTGATCCCCCTTCTGATGAAATTAATTTGAGTAATTAATTTGATTTGCTGACGGATGATGAGAACGATCCAACATCCAAGAAAAATTCTAGTAAACTTTCCCGGCTTAATGCCAAGAAGGAAAATATTCCCCTATTGTGAATGCCGTGTATTGGCTGAAACCTTGGGCGGATTTAAATGTCTTCTCAAGTATCTTACTGAGAAGCAGCACAATTTTTTTCCTTACGACACCAAAACTGAACGTGTGTTCAAGGTTGTCATGAAAGGACTGCCCAGTGATGAATCCTTGGATCAGATCAAAGATGAACTGACAAAATTACTTGGAGTTGTGCCAATCCAAGTAATCAAAATCAAAACGAAATCCCGTCCTGGTGATTCGCACAACGGGATTTCTAATGATTTTTATTTAATTCACTTCAAGTCTAGTGAACTAAACAACCTTAAGGCCTTAAAAAAAGCTAGCCTTATGCTCCATGTCCGAGTGAAGTAGGAACACTTCAGAAAGACTGAAGGAAATTTCCAAAACCTCACCCAGTGCCGTAAGTGCCAGGGACTAAAAATTGCTACATGCCAGCTAAATGCATGAATTGTGGTGATTGCTCTCACGCAAAGGACGACTGTCCTGTGGAGGAAGATCCTAAGAAATTTAAATGTTCAAATTGTGGTGAAAACCACAAATCCAATTTTTGGGAATGTAAGACTCGCAAAGCGATCAATCTCGTTCTAAGCGACAGGTAGGAAACGCTCTCTGTTAACAACGGTCAGCGAGGAAAAAATGCTACATTCGTACCCGTAGGTACAAATATCACCCCTGCTTCAAATTTTTCATCTGTACCTACTCTCTTCGCTGCTAACAATGTTCAGCGAGTTAATGGAGCTATTGCAACGGGTAGAAATCAAAATACTAACCAACGTAATTCTAACGGAAATTTTCACAATTTTGACTTAGGAAGCATTACTGCTCCTAAAATGGATTTTTTTACAGAAATCATGAATTGATATGATTTCTGATATGCTTAAATCTAACTCCATGTTTGATGCTATTCAAACTGGAGTAAAATTTGCAAACAATATTGTCATGACTTTAAAATTCAGTAATGGATTTTAAAGCATTAAAACGTTCCTTAAATCGACTAACTAATCGACGAATTCAATTTATTTAACCACTTTTACATATTCATCCGCGTCCCGGACATAATTTTGGCGTCTCACCAGTAACTTCTTCTTTTCCTTTTCACACACATGTACAAGGCTCAAAGACAAGTCGGAAAGGTGAGTAATTCAAGGTATTGGCAAAAATGAATCAAGATACTGAATGCTAAGGTGTAACATCTCTCCCCCTTGTGACAGAAAAATTCTTCGAGCCCGTTGCAAAAATAAAAAAAAATCACAAATTCAATTTTGTTGGAGCCTTTACCATTCTGGTAGAACGCCTCAAGGGTTGTGTGACTTCCGTTGCTGGGATTGATCCAGTCCTAGTATTCGAAGGGCCTTCCATTGGATCTGGATCAGGTTCCGCTGGTCGTTTATCAACACTGACAGCCTTTTTGCAGAGTGAACTCGCTCTGGTCAATTCCAAATCGATCCTTTCCCTCGACCAGTACACCGTATTTGACTCCTTGAATTAAATTCCTTACGGTTGAATCTTCAGCAGATGCTTGAGCTAATTCAGCAACAGTTAGTGGAAGTGTTTCCATTTGGTACATTTCTACTAAGTCCGACTCTTCGATCACGTTATCTGCGTCAGCTAATTTCAGTGGAATCCGAGATAAAGCATCTGCATTGGCATGGTTCACCGACCTTCGGAACCGTATTTCATAATCAAATTACTGCAGGTAGGTTGCATAGTGCTGCATCCTCAGGGCGGACATAATAGGCAAACCTTTGTGCTCCCCGAATATTTTGGTTACTGCTTGATTGTCTGTAACCAAAGCGAATCTGCGACCGTATAGAAATTGGAAAAATTTCTTGACGCCAAAAATTTTCGCGTACGCCTCTTTGTCCACGTGTAGGTATGCTTGTTGGGTTCGATTCAGCGTTTGGGATGCAATCTGAATCGGACGCTCCGAACCATCTGGGTAGATGTGACTAAGGACGGCTCCAACTCCGTATGGCGATGCATCGGTAGCCAACAGCAGGGGCAACTCGGAGGAATAATGTATGAGACAGGTTTCCGCTTGCATTTGTTCCTTCACAGCGAGAAAAGACTTCTCACATTGCTTACTCCATACGAACGGCACATCGTTTTTAAGAAGGTTGTTAAGGGGATAGAGCACAGTGCTCAGGTTCCGGAAAAATCTACCATTGTAATTGATAAGACCAACAAATGAACGTACCTCGTCCTTGTTTTCCGGTCTCCGCATCTCCTGGATTGCGTCTACCTTTTTCTGGATCTTGTGGATGCCCTTACAATCGATCAGATACCCGCAGTACTCTATCACGTCCGTGAAAAACTCGCATTTTTCACGGTTGACTCGAATGTTATTTTCATCCAGACGGCGCAATACTTCCTCCAATCGACGCAAATGAGTCTCGTCATTATGTCCAGTGATCTTAATGTCATCCAAAAATACACTAACACCCTCGATTCCTTGCAGCAATGCCTCCATTTGTCGTTGCCATATGGCAAGCGCCGATGCCACCCCGGTGAGTGCTTAGTAGAGTGATGCAAATTTTGAAATTTTCGCTCCACAATACTTAAACGATTCCAAATCGGATCCTGACTAACCTCTCAAAATTTGAACCCATTTGGTGAGAAACTGAGATGGCACAAACCATTTGTAGTTTGTATGGGAATTACTATGGTAAAACCAAGATTTTTGTTCATGTCTATCTAATAATTCACCATATCGGTCTGCTTCAAAAACTTTCAACTGTACTTGTAGGAAATTTTCTCAGCTACAACTTTGTTCAAGACCACATTTTGATTAAAAGCAAGGATCGAAAGTTATCAATGGTTAAATGCGCTGATGTCTTCTGATCATGCTCAATCAACTGCTCAGCAGGCAACATTGGTGTTTATGGGGCGTTGAATAGGACACAAAAGTCATGGCTACTATGTCACACTGCAAAATACAGTGTTGCCTACAGAGCAGCTGCTTGATCATGTCATAAGTTTACCAATCTCTTAAATAATTAATAACTTTTTCCTGTCTCGTTTTACATAGAAACAATTTTCAGCAAAGTTGTAGCTGAGAAAATTTTCTATAAGAATTGCTATCGAACTGTTTCGCAGCTCAATATGGAAAAAGACTAGAAGGCAATGAACAAAAAGTTGAGATTTCCCATAGTAATTTACAAGTAAACTTCAAATGGCTTGTGCGAAGTCTGTTTCTAACCAAATGAGTTGTAACTTTGGGAGGCTAATCAGGACCCGATTTGAAACCATTTAAGCACTGTGGAGCGAAAAAGTCAAATTTTGCACTGCTTAGGGTAAGAATTTCACGATCCTCCGGAGCAACTTCCATTTGCAAGTAGGCCTGCACTAGGTCAATTTTGCTGAATTTCTTCCCGCCAGCCAGGGAGGCGAACAGCTCGTCCACCGTTGGAAGCGGGTGCTTATCCTCCACCAGGTTAGGGTTGACAGTTTGATTATAATCCCCGCAGATACGTACACGGTTGTGGGATTTCTTTACTGGCACAATCGGCGTCGCCCAATTACTATGGTTGACCTTTATCAACACTCCTTCAGCTTCTAACTTGTCGAGCTCAGCTTCAACAACCTTTTGCAGATTTAACGGAATTTTACGTGCTTTCAGGAATACGGGACGGGCATCATTCTTCAGTGGCAGGTTCGCTTGAACACGGGAGATCTTACCGATAGAATCTTCTAACATTTTCGGAAACTTTTGCAGCAGTCTCTTCACAGTAGCAGCAGGATCAGTAGCATCATATGGAGCAGTTTGGTTATTTCCCGGAGTACCTTTACCTATCTCGTTAACTGCACTTTTCTTCAACAACAATGTGTTCCAATCGACCGGCATACGACACAGCCATTCGCGCCCGATCAACGGATGTTTTTCCGACTTCACGACGTACAATGGTAAAAGTGTGTTTTGTCCATCGAATTCGACACACGCGTCCATTATCCCGAGCATTACAGGAGTTCCTTTAATTTCAGTTTGGGTCTTACAAGTCCTATTGAGAATCACACTGACGTGTTTTGAATTTGCTGCTGCTTTATTTTACGAGATGTTTATTGAAAATTTAGTGCAATAAGTTCTTTAGCTGGTGCATAACGGTGATATCCAGTGGAAGTAGGCTAAAATCGAATGTGCAAATTTTCTCCTGCAAACTTCTGCTGCCTGCAAGCCAAAATGGGCACATATCTATCAGAACCACTCACAACGAAGGATTCGAGCGAGGAGGCAATTGATTTGCTTGCTCGCGGTTCCAGCTCGATGCAAGGCTGGCGGATCAGCCAGGAGTAGTAGTTTCTAGTGAAAGAAATGATCTCCATCACATCACTAAACATAACTACGAGCAATGATTTGAAACTGCATTCCAAACCCCATAGTTAAAAAGAAGCGGATGCATCCAACGAAACTTTTAAGCGCAAAAGAATCATTACCAACATAGGAAAAAATTCGGAAAGATAATTCCATTGCATTATTTTATGATTCTTCAATATTGTACAAATATTTACACATTCCACACAACTACACATAGTAACTCGGAGCGTTTGGTACGGTATGTCCACGCACCCTTCCACCCCTGTAGATTCAAGAAATGTTCCCATTAATTTCCAAGAATCATCTTTGCGGCAAATACAACGCAGTAGGCCTGGCCGTATTGATGTTTATATCATATCTCAGATATGCTGTAAACATCAATTAGACAAAAAAAAAATGATTAGACCTCATCTATTTAACCTAATCATTTTCCAGGATGCTTTCTCGTACTGGCTGCGTTTGTATTGGATTAGATTAGATTAGATTAGATTAGATTAGATTAGATTAGATTAGATTAGATAGCAAAATACATTTTTAAAATGTTGTACTTCTTCAACTATAACACTCAAATTTACGATAAAACATCCTTTGCTCTTTTTCAAAAACTTATGCTCATATCAGGTCAGAATGACGTTTGCTTCATACTACCGGAAACACCTGTTTGCAACTTCCACTCACTGCATGCAACGTTAGCGATGTTCGCAATAAACCAATCTCCTGCTCCATCAAATTTTGTTTACAAACAAACCCGCACCATTCTCTCATTTCCCTTACAAAACACGCACTCTCCCTCTCTGTGACCATTGATATTATTTTATGGCATTCTCAAAAGTTGGGTAGGAATGATATTTTCATTCATCCCATCTCTTTGCGCCGAAACATATTCATTCGATGCTCTCTTCCTCTCTCATGCTATAAAACGACACCAAATCGTTTGTTCAGGGTTGAACTCTTCATTCATGTCGCGAATATAAACATTTGATTCATTCTCTTACTGAGCTGTAAGCCTCGCTGTACGGCAACACTATCGTTCCTGTTTTGGAGCTGCTACGCTATCCAGCACAAGTTTCCACTCGATGTAAGCTTTTCAGTCTTTAGACGGCGCTCGTTCGGTTAAGAACGTTGGGTTCTGGTCTCGTCTCGTGGAAGGTTGTGTTCTGTGAAGGGTTACCGTGCATTGTATCTACGGAGATAGTGATTTTTGGATATTGTTCCAAACTCCCCCTGGGCGGTTTTTGATCGAAAAAAAAACTACCTTGTCAAGGCACCCGGCCAGTGCAGTTTGAATACCGAAAACGGAACAACAAACGAGAGAAAGCCGGCCGTTGGCAGTTTGTTGATTGGTGCTAGTGCCAACAATGGGAAGAAGTGGTCAGTGAAGTGTGACGAGAGGCCTGTCCAGGAAGCGGAGAAGTTTTTGTTGTTCCCTGCTCTGTCATAGTGGCACCAGCAGCGGTGTGTTGTATATTCTTCGTGTTTGCAATTCTTCGTTCGGAGGAAGTTGATTGAATAATTGCATTTGTGTTTTCATTCGCATGGATTCCCGATGAGTTGGTGTGACGAATAGTTCGACAGAAGGGGTGAATGATTCTGCAACGGTGATCAAAGATCGATTTGGAGTATATTGTATATTACAGTGCGTGGTTTGAGGGAATACCTGAAACGCCCAACCAACAGAGGATAAAGAGAAAAGTCAAAAAGTGAAGTGGTTTGTGTGATTGGCTCGACGGGCGATCATTTGATCATACAGGTGTGCAGAGTTGCTGGTTTGGTTGTGGTAGTGAAGGAAGATTGCTAGAGCGAACATGAAGATCGATTCCAAGTGGTTTAGTGGCATAGCCGGTGGTGGAGGCCTGTTCAGCTCCACCACTACAGCGATTCCGTTGCTGTTGATGTTGATGCCGATGATGACTCCGATGGTTGCATCTAGAACGCCGATCGCGTTCACGGTAGAGGAGCACATTAGCAATGATCCGGATTTGTCACAGGTACCTAGGCGTGAATTGAATGATTGTTCTTGGGGAACTGCGCTAGCGATGATAATTGAAGTTACTTGTTCGTTGCCGTTATGATCAAATTAGCGATCTGGTAGAATTTTGTGCTCCAGGATACGATGAGTTGATTGTTGTGTTGGAACTTAAATTTTAACAGTGGTTTGGTGACTTTAATTAACTATGCACACCGTGTCCAATGTATTCTGATACAAGTTCAAACTGCATTTTTTTTCGCATCAATGCTTCGGATGTTATTAATGATTTCATTAACTGAAATGCATTATAGTATTGATCCATTACAGTATATGTTGTTGAATTACCCTGCCTTCAACCTGTCTGATCAGATTCAGACGTTTCTCAAATGCATTGGAGATGGCACGCACGACTTTCATAGGCATCCCATATTCGTTTGAAAATGGGTTTTAATTTGATCAAATTTGATACCCTGTGTTCGTTTACCTTCGACAGTGTATATGACCACATGCTATAAGCCCAAGCGATTCAGATCTGGTGAACTGGGAGGCCATAAAATTACATGAGATTATCGACATAATTAAAGTGCATTCTTTTAAATGTAATATTAAAATTTATTGTTTGCTGTGTATATTCAAAAAATGTTCACAATCATGAAAATATCTGCTTCTTATTGTTAATTATAGCATTATCATACTTCTCGATTACTTTTTCGATGGGACGTATCAGCTTTTGTAAACAATGCATTTGATCATCGATTTGGCGTAGCTGGTAGCACGTCCCCGCATGCTAACACTACCTGATAGTGGTGTTAGTATGCGTGCGTGATCTACCAGGTACGCCAAACCGACGATCAAATACATTGTTTACAAAAGCTGATACGTCCTTTTGAAAAGTAATCGAGGCTTATTTTTCTTTCATGCCTTGCGTATCGGACACTTTTCCGCTTTTGAGAGTTTACAAGTGTTACTCAAATGAAAATTATGATCCAATATCTTAATGATCATGTTTTTTTTCATGTCTGAATTACGTTTATAATTTCGTTGGTGCTCACCACAGGTTTTCATTGAAGATTTTTTCGAATCTTCCCTTTGATTCATCCCACAAATTTCTCAGAGTTCTTGTCAAAATATCACAAGGATAATCTTGTTGGAGTTCTCTCTGGTATAGCATTTTCTCTAAAAATCTTAAGAAATTTTCTTCAGAAAACTCACTCTACAATTATCCTTACATTTTTAGTAATTCTTATAAGAACTTTTGAAATTTTTACCAGGCTTCTTTTTAATATTCTCTTGGAACATTGCTCAAATTTCCTCAATACACTTAATAACCATGGAAATCTTGGCAGAATTGTCTTTTAATTCTATTCCTAATTATCTCAGAATACTCCTTCAAATTCTCCTCTAAATTATGGTCATCTCTCCTCAGTTTTCCCTACACGTAAACCAAAAATGTATTACATCGAATGTTAGTTGCATTTCCTATCCTCCTCCACAGCGAATACCGCAGAGTATTATTTAAGTTGACCTTGAAAACGATGCAATGATATTTTATCTTTTTAATTTCGTATACTGTCTACGCTTTTGACTATGCCAGCAAGCTTTTTATGTACAACGACGCACACACTTGCCACGAATCTCTCCAATTCCCGTTCAGCAGTAAAGCATGCGAAATCAAATTAGCAAATCATATACTATGAGCGCTTCTTATTCGCTTTTAGCCTATCCACGTTCCTAAGCATGGAGAGAGTAGTGGAGGAAGCACAGGTCTGATAATCACAACGTTCGTGGCTTGTGTTCAGTCGGCAACCTTTTTTCCATAAAAATTAATTTCTCTCAATAATACACTCCACATTTTTCGGTATCCAATTTTCTTGCATTGGATCGCAGGGCGTTCATGTGGTCTTCACTAACATCCTGCGCTGATGAATCCCACATAATTGTAAGCAAATCTCATCCCCCGGTCTGGTGCACAGAATTTACACACATTTGCCATTTTTACCAATAGGTTAACTTTGAAATAATCCGATCGCAGTATTCAAATGCACGAAAAGATAGAAATTTCAGCAAAATTAGAGTATTTCCCGTTTTGCGGTCTACATCCATGCCTCTCACGCCAAAGGCATGAGTTTAAATCTCATCACCGGACAAGTCACGACCCAAGATTATTAACGTGACTATAAAGAAGAAGAAATAAACTTTCAAGTATATTCAGGGTGACTAGAGAACTGGGATATCGGGAAAACCAGGAAAAAGCCGGGAATTATAAATCACTGGGAAAAGTCCTTAAATGGTGACGAATCAAAACAAATATACTTCGTCCACTCTTCGGAAAACTTAAGATTCTGGTCTTTAGAATGTCGGAATTTTTAGGATTTTGTCATTTTGAATCATTAGGAGCATTTAGAAGGAGTTCTAGGGACAACACCAATATATTTCCGGATTAGCGAAAAGGGACTTCTGACTAGAACTCCAAGGCAATAGTGTAATGAATTGCAAAATATTTGTGAGAAGAGTTTCTATTCAAATTGAATTTATGGTGGCCCTATGGCAAGTTCCATGACGACTGTGAGACTTCAGGTAAATTTCTAATATAATTTATAATAAGTTAATATAAGTCAATAAGTTCTGAGAAGATTCTGATGAGCGTTGTTAGGAAAACCGAGATGTATTTTAAGGCTAGTTAGTCCTGAGGATAGTTTCTAAATAATTGCAAACGAATTTCGTTAATAATACCAAAGAAAAAGATTTTTTGGGTTACATTTCTCATGGAATTCTGACCTAGTTTAAAAAGATTTCCAATGATAATATCGAAAAAAAATTCGGATTATATCTAGATAACCAAGGATAATTTTAATATACGGATAGAGAGAAATGTGAGGAGAATTCCAAATTAAATCTCATAAGACTTCAGACACATAACATATGTGGAACTTCACGCAAAACTGCTGCCTAAAAGTTGACCCCTTTTTCATTTCCTCACTGGTATAACTGTTATAGTTGGACATCGATCTGTCAAAATTATTTTTTCGTGATATCGAATCTGAACGTTTATAAGGGCTAATGTCGTAAACGTAAACAATGACTTCTTTCATAAATTTCTCGTAATTTTTTTTTTTTCCTTTGGTTTGTTTTTTCCGTCGATCTTGTTTTCCGTGCTGAGCACCAATGCTACCGACGTGCCAGGAAGGCAGCTCCCACACCTGGACCCTACCTATCGACCCATCAACTCATGAACCGGGGACCAACGGCTTTACTTCCCATCCGAAGGAAGGCGTGATCAGAGATGTTATGCCTCAGAACATCCCGGCGGCGCCGACTGGGATTGAACCCAGGCCTGCTGGGGTGAGAGGTAATCACGCTTACCACTACACCACCGGCGCCGTTGGAATTTCTCGTAATTCAAAGTCAAAGAACTTTCCCTATACACAAACACCGTCGCGGCTTACTTGAGCGAGTTTTCTTTTTCGAGATATCCTCGAAAACAGTCAATGTTTACGTTAGTGACATTGGCCCTTAAGAAAGATAAGCAGATATTTGGTTGCATGCTCACTACACACTATTTGAAAACTACCCAAGTTTTGATCTGGGTGGACTCTACCCAAAGTTGGGTAGTTTTGAAATACCATGTAAGTATTGACGTTGACGGTGGCACTGAAACTTCGTCGGTGCTGCAACTCTTTCTCCTGCGGTAAAATCCTTTCAGCATCTGTAAATCTGTGCATGAAATCTACCGGATCTTATCTCTTCCCTCCATCATGGTACCAGCGAGCCGCCGTCGTTTCTTCACGCAATTATTGAGAGTATCTTATGGGATTTTTCACTGGAGCGAAAGTGTAAGAAAATGACCACCATGTTTCACGCACAGATTGACGTTCGCTTATGTGTTTTTACCATGGGAGTAAAGAGTTACAAAGTGGCTGACAAGGTGAATTTTCAAATTCATGCCATTTTTTTGACTAACGACCGTTCATTAATGAAATAAGACACCTGTTTTTCAAAGAAAAATATTTATTTTCGAACAAACTGACCGATTTCACGTGAGTTTGAATGTTTACTTCTCATTTCTGAAGAACACTCGGACTTTTCTCTTGATACCGCCCATCAGAATTTGCACAACTTTCTTCTTAACTTTTCGTTGTGCTGCAGACCAAATTTTCTTGAAGCAGTCAACAGGGCTTGCTTCTCTTCCATCTTTCTTAAGATGCCGTTTTATTATTGCCCAGCATGTTTCGATGGGACGAAGTTCAGGGCAGTTTGGGGGATTTTGCAATTTTTCGACAAAATCGACTTTTTCCTTCATGAGCATCTCCAACGTAGCAGAAGCATAGTGAGCAGCACGTTTTTTGTTGTCCCTAAGTATCTGCAGCAGATCTTTGTTTAAGGATTTGAGGACGCTGTTGAGAAACATAGTGAGGTTTGAAGCCTTGAATATTACATGTATCGATAAGTGTTCGATTTAATTTGTCATCCTTCTTGCAAAATTCTTGCGAATGGAATGTTAGCTCAAAACACTGCACATTTTCTACATGGTATTGCCTTCCAGAGATTTATTTCTGTTTTACGGATTAATTCTCGCAAAACACGAGAAAAGGGCCTATCATTATCGACTCTCTTCATCGATTTTCTCTTTCGCGAGTAACCCGACTGCTAATGATTTTTCCATTTAGTATGTTGTTTCAGGCGCAAGCTAACATCATCTTCTGTCGAACAGCTGGCTGCGAGCTTAGCGAGAAATTCGTTCATGTAGCCGTAGTAAACCAAAGAGAAAAGCGATGAAGAGAATCGATAAACGAGGATAGGCCCTTTTCAAATGCTACGCGAGAATTGGGTTGTTTAGGGGTATTGAGGTAAATACATATTCGTTATCTGCATTAAAAATGGAACCGAAACCCAAAATTGCATCAATTTTGGTACACTGAAACTATTTTAAATAAGTACGATTACATTAGCAAAAATCACCATCTTAGCGCCCCTTGGTGGGACTTTGTATGGGAGCAAGCTGTCAACGAATAGATTTAG